GATCAAGAATAACAGGACGTCTAAGACGAGAGGCAGGAGCAATTGTGAAGAAATATAAAGGGAAGAAAGTGAGTGGCAGTAAAAGAGAAGAGGCAAATGAAAAATCTCTCACTCTTCACATTAGGGAAAGTGAATTGATAAAACCAGAGGAAGTAGAGAGAACACTTTCTATGGCAGAAGAAGAGATTAAAGCATGGAAAGAAAAGTGTAAAGATCTTGAAAGGGAGAAAGAAGATATGTGTAATGAAATGAAAAAGATTTTGCAGGAAAGGGAAAATGAAATGGGAGATGACAGAACAGAGCAAACACTCAATGAACTACATGAGAAGAATAAAGAGCTTCATGAGTACATAAATGATTTAGAAAGGAAGTCTGGTTTTCTTTGTCAAAAGAAAAAAATTGACTCTTTAGGAAGAAAGCAACAGTTAAGAAGGCTAAATGAATTAAAAGAAAAGGCTGAAATAGCACTTTGGTTTTTAACTTCACATGGTCTTCAACTTTCTTTTGTTCAAGTCCAGGAGACGGCCACTGGAATATCACATAAGCTAGTATATAATGAAAATAATTCAAAATCTGATAATGATAGCCTGGAAACCATTTTGTACTTGATTGACAAATTCTGTGCTAKTGATGAATTATACCATGAATTTTCAATGATTTCTAATGACCTACCAAGAWCATATTTAATCAAGCAAAAGAAAAATGACCTGAACAAGCTCTGCCATATAGAAAGGACCCCTGGGCAGCATCCTGGTGCACAACTGTCATTCACAGACACGCTYAAAGAACACATCATTGATTTCAAAAGGGACAACCCTAATCACCCACAAAATGAGCCAATGAGAGTTAAAATAAGTTGTGACGGTGCTAAAATGTCCAGGTCAGCCAATTTTATGATATTGTCCTTTTCCCTTTTACAAACAGGTGATCTTGTTATGTCATCTAAAGGGAATAGGACWATAGGAATAGTCAATGGGCCTGAAAGTTATGAAACTCTTCAAAACTCATTTTCAGAACTTTTTAAAGAAATAAATACTGTCAACAAAGAGGGTAAAATTAATGATGGGGATAATAAAATCCCAGTAGAGCTGTTTTTGGGTGGGGATTATAAATTCCTGCTTATGGTGATGGGACTAAGTGGAGCAACGTCTGACTATTCCTGTCTTTGGTGTAAAATCCACAAATTAATGAGATGGGATATGTCCAAAAGYCTTGATTACTACAATAAAGAAATCAATAGAACAATTGAAAAAATACTAGAACAGAATAAGAAATCTGAATGCTCATGCATAAATAAACCTTTGATTGAAATTGAAGTTGATCATATAATACTAGATGAATTACACCTGATGCTAAGAATATCTGACAGACTACTTGAAAACCTGATTAAAGAAGTAATGGAGAAAGATGGAAAAGAAGACTTTAATAAAAYAAAAAAAGAATCAACTGGCCTTAATATACAAACACTTATCAAAACTATCAATGATCTTGGACTGACTTTTACTATTTGGGAGAAAAGAAATGCTGATGGAAAGGGAAGTGGGACGTAYGACTGGACAAGTCTTGTTGGTTCAGACAAAAAAAAATTAATTAAACTTCTACCAGAAAAGCTAGAACAATTAACAGTACAGTTTTCAGATACTAAAGACACTGTTATCAAAATTTGGAGGGACTTTGGCAATCTATATAACCTAATCAACTCTGTTTCATCCGATGATGGCTTTTACCTTGAAATCTTCGAAAAATCTAAAGATTTTGTTAACTTATTTACATCTCTTGGTGGCAAAAGAATAGGCTACGACAAAAAAAGAGTAACACCATACATGCATGCATTAGTATACCATGTACCCATCTTTATAAAGAAATACAAAAACTTTAAACAATTTACTGGCCAAGGTATAGAAAAAAATAACGATGACGCAAAGAAAATTTATTTCCAGAAATCAAACAAATGGGACGCCGCTCAAGACATTCTACTATTGGAGCATAGGCAGAGGGCTTTGAGACACAGAGAAAGGGGGAAAAGAATGTATGAAAAAAGAAACACAACTTATTGGGACGAGGGAATTATAGAAAGCAGGAAGAAAAGAGCAAAGGCATGTTTAAGAGAAACAGAAAATGATGGTTGCTGCTCTAGCACTAGTATGGAAATAATTACTACTCTCAACAACTCGAATGATTTTTCACAAATGACAGTAAAGCAGTTAAGACAAGAGTTAAAATCAAGAGACAGAACTATTAAAGGAATACACAAAATGGCTAAATCAGAATTAATTGAAAAATTGCAAAGAAACATGACTTTTGTCTAAAAATATTTATTAGTTGATACTATTTAAACAATATATTTATTTTGTATTTTTTTCTATAAAACTTATTTATTATATTTATCCATCTAATTAATTTT